CACCAGGCATTGACAAAGGAGGAAAGAGGCCCAATGTTTGGAACAACAGGAGATGAACTTGATGTTTTTATGTAACTTGGTGTTTTTAACAGATTGGAGCCCAGGACATGACTCTCCCTTGCATCTCTCGCTCTAAGAGTGCAACAGGTAACTTACTTCTGCAGGGAAAGGTCTGATTTCAGACAATTCCGTGGACTTCACAGTTTCCCCCAGATGAATCAAACTTCTGTCTCTGGCATTTCAGCGTAATTGGAGTCTGATGGAGAGGGAGGAGTACTGCCTTTGCTCTGGAAAATCAAGGGTTCTGGAATTGGAAGTGCATGTGTGTATCCCTCATGTGAAATCCTGTACCCACAATTGATTCTGATGCTGGAAGGAGAGTTTCACACTGACTCCAGAGCATCAGGAGCAAACCCAGCCCTGTCCTCCCCGTGCTGTTTCAGGATTTCGGCTTCTTGTGGCTCGATTCTTACACGGTTGGTCCCGTCTCACGGTGGTGACGTTCCTGTTTCCCTTGGTTTGCTCTCCTTAAGAATCTCTTCCGTTGCACTGGATTATTTTTTTTTATTTTAAAATGTGGCATGTGCTGTTCTGTTCCCACCAGTAAAAGTTTTGGGTTTTCAACTCTTGCCAGGGAGGCACGTGGAACTGGGCACTGCCTGGCAGGTCTGAGTGAGCCAGGAAGAGGTGAAGGGCTGTTCCTACAGAGTGTTCCCTCCTGCCGGCCCCGGGGATATCACCACCGTAGTTTTCCCTCTTCTCCCTCGGTAGTGCGGCTCTTCTGCCCCACAGGAGATGGCTGCACACATCTGTTTGGGAAGCAGCTTATCATCTCTCCCTCATCAATTTTAAGCAACGCTGTCTGAGTTATTCCACCTCCCAGTTTACTTAGCTACCAATTTAAATAATCCAATATACATTTTTTCCCTTTTTTTCTGGATGTTAACATAAGAGGAGAAAGGTGGTTGATGCTGTGCTTTCTAAACCTTTGTGAGCTGCAGATCCAAGAGGAAACAGAATCCTTCTAAAAACCCCTTTCCCCCCTAAAACAACATGAGTGTGCTTTAGAAAATAAACTGTCTTCTTCACAGCCACCTCTTGTGAGTTGAGACTGGGAGAGTTCTGGACTCTGGCTCCCCGGGAGCCACTCGTAAGCCAGAGCCTGGAAAAACAGGCTCCTGCTTTGGGTGCTGAGCCAGGGAGGGAGCAAAGCGCCCCCTGCTCCCCACCAGCATCCCAGCAGCTGCTCCTAGTGACACCAGTGAGGTCGGGCTGCGTTCAGGTAATGAGCTGGGTACTTAAAAACCAGCTCCTGGGTAAACTGGGGCTTTCCCCTGTCGGATGCTCCGGATGCAAAACACACTACCTACCTCAAAGAGCTGTTGCCATGTTTGATGTGTGGTACGGGATCTGAAGGGAAGGGGCACTACGCTGTGGGTACAGAGTGTCGTGCCGTTGTTTACAATTTAAATATGGCCAATAAACCCCTTTTTTCTTAGCCATTTCTACCAGTTTGCCCCGTTCGCTGGCCTCGTGTCCCAGTGGGACTGGGAGAGGCAAACGCAGAGCGCGTCACCCATGGGCAGGCACTGGCGATGGCTGTCGGACCGGACTCGGGGTGACGCTGTTTTGCTGTCTTTCCAGTTTGAAAAGGGCTTTTTTTTAACGGATAGACGGAGCAGCTCGGCCTCGGGAGGGACCCAGGGAGACTGGAGCGCGGGCAGCAGCAATTTGGAGCTGGGCGGTGGGCTGCAGACCGGCCCCTCTGGCGCTCACCCTGCCCGCTCCCCCTGCCAGCGGGGACGCACCGGGCGCACGGCTCGGTGCTGCCCAGCTTCCTGCGTGCCTGCTGTTGGGGGCAGCAATCCTGGCAGCAATCCTGTCCTCCCATAAGGGAATTCTGAGTGGCTGCTTTGGTTGGATCAATTCCCTTTCAGTAACAGGGGAAAAAAACCCCAACTTTTAATAAAAAACCCAACTTTTAATAAGAATTTCGAATCCCAATTGATTTATTCATCAACAGGTTTTGAAAATGCCATAATGCAGTCGTCTTACATCTGTAACTCTTACTGCAAAGTGGAATTCCTGGTAGGAAGGGATGAGCCCAACCACCAGCTCCGGTGTGAAGCTGCTGTGCACTAACAGCAGCATATGGGAGTCGGAGGAATCCCTTTTTTCGGAACGCGTTTTCCTCGCTCGCACTCCTTTAACATCCAAAATGTTTACACTCTGAGCCAAATAACGCCAGAAACGGAGCTCCTCCACTCTAAGGACTACAACTGACAAGCGTTTGTCAGAGATTCCTGCATGCCAGTAGCTTTCATATCCTTCCAGCATGTTTGTGAGGATTCTTAGAGCTGATGATTTCTCTCTTGGAAGGCTAAACCGGAATCATGGGATGTGCATTGGCTTTTCATCACATCAGTGGCCACTTCCAAGCTATTAGTTAGCTAATATAAATTAAATGGATATTATTATTATTTTTTTTAGCAAGCATTTACTTTCTCTTCCTTGCGGCTGTCTTCATTTTTATATACTGAAGTCCTGATTTTTCTCAGCCAAAAACCCCCAACAAACCCAAAAGTTGTTTTGGAGCACAGCAGCAACAGGCAGAGTGCTTTGTAACTGGTGCCTGACAACAAACGTCCATCGTTGCAGTACTGGTAGGAGCTGTTCACTTCTGTATGTTGGAAATAAAAAAGCATCTTTAAAGAACCTGTCTGATTCTCTGCTGCAACTGTTCAAACAGGGGTGAACTCTGAAGATTTAAGCATTTGGGCTGCTCTTTACCCACAGAAACAGAGGTGAGTCGTGCTTGTATTCAGTTATTCCTACTTTTTAACTAAAATTTTTTTTTTTTTCCTGTAGAAGCAGTGGGTTTTGTTTGTTTTCATACCACAGAGCAGGCTGGTACAACGCATCATCCTGCGATGCAGTTGGTTATTTAAAATAAAAAAGGCCCACGGGCTTCGAACGGCCAACTGAGACGAACTGGGAAAGGATCCCGTCTTCCTTCTGCAACTGAGTGTAAAGAACTGGAGTCTCAGGCAGCTGTTACTAACGGAGACTTTATTCAAGTTTCAAATAGTCTGCTGTAAATAATAGAAAAATAGAATCTTCCGTTTACAGGTCGATTTGATGCCAACAGTGGCACAAAAACTGCACATCCTTTACTGGGAGAGATAAAACCAGTGCATAAAAACGTTCGCATTCAGGCTCAGACAGGCTCTAACCCCCCTTGTGGGCGGTCTTCCCCCACATGAAAGCAAACCCAACTACACTTTTGTTGTTTGGGTTTTTTAAATGCATTGTGCAAGGATATGTGGTAGAAAAACGTCTGATTTCCAGCTGAGATGTTCAGGATCCTGGGTTCCTTGGAGTACTTACTGATCAGGGGCCCGGCTCGCTGCCGGCAGTTGTTCCCTCTGAGGAGGGAAGGGAAGTTCTGGCAGCAGCGAGGGCTCTGCGTGGACTGGCCCAAGCCCCATCCCACAGCTCGGTCATGTCGTGCTGACCATGCCAGGATGCTGCTGTCCCGACCCTTCCCCAGCGGGGAGAGCTCCAGGCTGGGTACCGTGGTGGCGGGGGGTACCGTGGTGGCAGGGGACGCAGCTGGGCAGAGCACACCGGCTTCTGGGAGGTACAAGAAAAGGCAAAAATGAAATTTTTTTTTTAACCGAAAAGGCTTTTTATGTTGCTGTACTGTTCCAAAAATGCAGCGCTCATTAAGCATCTGTTAGATCACTCCTAGGACTAAGGATTCGGTGGGAAAACCCTGGCTCTGCAGTCACCACAGGCTGTGTGAAGAATGTCAGGGGCAGGAAAGCCCCAACCCTGGGTGGTGGGCTCTGAGCCTACCACTGCGGCCAGACGGGAATGCTGTGGGTTTATGGTGTGCTGCACCTGTCGCAACACTTTAAACCAACTTTTTTCAGTTTTCTGATAAAAGTCTGAGCTTACCAGGGAAGGGCAGACAGTTGCAGACTACACCTTCCTTAAGCCAGCTTTGTGCTACAGGCAATTTATCTTGCATCTTAAAAAATACTCACTGCTGCTCAGGTGAGAAGGCACCTATGGCTTACGTTCCTCACCTGTTTCCCCCAGGAAAACCAGTTCTCTGTTTCCTTTCCTGCTGCAGCTGTGCAATTCCCTTACCCACTCCTGTGTGTGGAAGGTGGCCCCAGGGCTCGTGCCCTGCATCCTCTCATGGCAACTAACTCCGCAGCCTCGTTTGCTCTGGCCGGAGCAGTGGCAGAACGGGGGGAAGCTGACCCTGTTCTCTGCAGGGCTGGGCCAGAATCCAGGGAGTTTCCAGGAACCTGATCTAGCAGAAACCCCCATGGCAGGGGGGTTGGAACTAGATGGTCTTTGAGGTCCCTTCCAACCCAAACCGGTCTGTGATCCTATGGCTGAGGTATCTGGCTGCCCTGGGGTCAGTGGGCAGTTTTATAGAGCCTCTGTAGCAGCCAAGGCGGAGGGGCAGTCAAATACCTCATCTCTTCTCATCCGGGGCTCTGCAGCAGGGCCTGACTCTGCTCCTGAGCCTCTTCCAGCTCGCAGGCAGCCGACGTGGAGGTGTGACTGGCTTCCCCGTTCATCTCCCTCAGGGGGTGGTAGAGATAGTCACCGCTCTGGTGCTGCCTCTCTGACCTGGCCTTCAGCAAGAGGCCCACGTTGCCCACGGCGCTAATCACGAGCAGCAGAGCCAAGACAGAGGTCACGGAGATCCAGCTTTTTCTGTCAGACAGAAGAAAAATCCACCTGAGTAACATATCTTGACCTGCTTTCACGTGTTCCCAGCACGCAAATGACTTCTCAGGTCTGCACCCCCTTCTCTGCCATCACAAGTGATGCCCTCAGGCAGGTGAGGTGCTCTGCAAAAGGCTGCTGAGGAAATGGCTGTTTGTAGCCTTCCACTCAGAGCAACCAGCTTCACCAGTACGACAGCAGCTGTGCTCTGCTGGTGGAACTGTCTGTGTCTGCTGCACATGCGGCGCGTTGGTGGGGAGGAAAGGGTGCCCTGGTTTAACTGTACGCTGCAGAGCGCTGGGCTCGCAGCACGAGCTGTCACTGGTGGAGCTTCTGCTCCGCACTTGCCTTATGACTGGGTTTCTACCAGTTTACCTTCCATATCCTCACCCTTCCTGTCACGAGATATAATGAGGTCAGAACATGCTTTGGGCAAGGAAGCAGCAGGTCTGAGACGCTGCCCTGGCACCCAGGAGGTGGCACGAACAGCTCCATCTTGCATGGGCTCCGTGTGTACCTGTACGTGTATGTGATGAGTATCACACACTTACTCTCACAGAAAGAACTTTTCTTTGCTCCTTGCCTTGTTCAGGGAAGCCAAACACCGCTCCGCTGGAAAACAAAGAACAGAGGGAAGAAAGGCAGTGTTGGGGGCAAGGTGTAAAATTCCACTGAAAGAGAGTAAGCTTTAGGTGGGACCACAGCCAGCTGGAGCTGACAACTCTGCAAACAGCACATTATGCACTAGAGCTGCTCTTCCAACTTCTTTTTTAAAAAAAAAAAAACCCCCCAGCCACTCTGCTCGCAGGTACCTCTGTTTAACTGGTCCTGCATCGCTGAGTCGTAGGTGATGTTGCAGCTGCCCGTCCTCCGCTCGCAGGGACACGTGTGCTCACACGCACACTGCTTCTGGCAGCCGGGCCCGTACCAGCCCATGGGACACTCTGGAAAATTGATCACAAAGAAGTGAACCACGGAAACCATCTGGTCTGTCGCTCTGCAGCTCCCCAGCTCAGCAGTGTCTGTTCCCACAGCTGCATCAGCCCCCTCCCAGGAAGGACGGGCACACTTGGAGCTTTAGGAGAGGCTCAGACCTCACCTACATCTCTCTGAGGTCTCAGCGTTGCTGCTGTCACCACGGCAGTCTCTGGCTTTGCTGCCTCTACTGCGTTTTTCTCCCTGCTGTATCCAAGCCCTGCTCTTTTTGGCTCGGAAGCAAAGGCAGAGGAGGGGCATCACCGGCCCCTTCCTAACGAGCAAGTGCTCGTGTGGGGGTACAAGCTGCACTGAGCAGTCAGGGCCTCAGGTCTCCTGCAGCCTGCCCCAGCTGTTCTGCCTGCCCGCCCCGCTTCCTCCAGCCTGAAAGCACCAAGCTGTGAGTGAACTGCTGCCATTTTCTGTACTCCAAGGTGAAGGTTTTGTAAAAGGGATCGGGCTGGCGGAGCGTTCCCAGGCCGGAACAAAGCATCGCTAACCAGGCACACGAGAAGTTGACACCCACGCTGGAATTAACTTGTCCTGTCACCAGAGCAGGCTGTTCTGTCACCCACGGGGGCCTCGAGCGCTTCGGAAAAGCCGCTGTGGTCACACAACGGAGAACGTGGCTCTCGTGTTCCAGTATTTGTGTTCTACGCTCATGCACGCGGGAGAGCAATGCAGTTCTTTGGGGCACAGACTGAACAGGAATCCACGGTTTTCCCACAAGGAAGAAAACTCCTCTTTCCTCTCTGCTCCCTCCCTTTCCTTTTAGCCAAATTGGGTCGGGCAGGCAAGCCCTTTGGAGCTGGGAGCTGGCAGGTTGTGCTCCAGCTGGGAAGTTCAGCGCTGAGCCTGCCTGGCAGACCTCACGCTTGCTTTACCACCGTGAGGTGGCACCAAAGCCTCTCCCCAGCCCAGGCTGTTGTTCGGAGCAGCCCTTACCTTGCTCGCAGCTGGTGCCGTAGTACCCAGCCGGGCAGGAGCAGGTTCCGCGCACGGGGTCGCACGAGCCACCGTTCTGGCACAGGCATTTCTGGGCGCAAGCGTCCCCGTAGAAACCATGAGCACACGCTACAGGAGACGAGCAGAGATCTCAGCGGGGCCCTTGTTACCAAGGCAGCAATCCCACCCCATGCTTGTACCCACTGGCACAGGGCGCTGAGGGCTGCTCAGAGGGCAGAGCCCGAGCCTGTGCCTTGAACAAGGAGCTTAAAGCGCTCCACACCGACCCCATCTTAAGAGACTCAGGCTGCAGTGAAACTCACACTGGCAAAAAACGAGCACTCTGCAGCCTTTCCCTTCATTGCTCCCTCTGGAAAAGAGCGTGAGCGGGATCCCCCCTCCACTGCAGGCAGGAAGTGGGTCACACTATCCTTTTGCTGGCTCTGGACAAGCGGAGCAGAAGTCAGCATTACCTTGGCTGCAGTTGCTGCCAGTCCAGCCGGCATCACACAGGCATCCAGCTGCGGAAACACACACAAACAGGCGTTAAGGACGACAGGGAAAGGCTCAGGAACAGCAGGAGCTCAAAGTGAGGAGCTTCTGCTGCTTGGTGTGCCTGCCTGGCGCTCCCTGCTTCTGCTGGGAACACACAGAAGACATCCTGGGCTCACACACAGGGTAGGTTCAAACACGCCCCCACCACAGCTGCCAAACACGGCAGAACCTCCTGCTCACTGGATTTTGAGAGGTTAATGCTGGCTTGACCATTGGCAACACCTGGACCCACTGAGCCCTGCCCAGTCCCTTCACTGGTGCAAACTGGGCTGTGAATTAGATCAGGGAGGTAGCAAAGAAACAGGAAAGCAGGTTTGAGGAGGTACAGAAGGGGAGAAGCAGGAGGTGTACATTCCAAAGAAGTTTATGGAAGAGCAGCAATTGCTCACTGGTAAAAATTACGCCTTTCCCCATCAGCAGATTCACAAACCAGGAGCACAACCTCAGGAGGCAAAAAGGGAAGCTCAGACGCGGCGTATGATGAAGTGAAGTCCCATCACAGGACCAGTTTCCAGATCTGCGTCCCAGCCTCACCCTGCTGCTGTCTCCTGAAGGCAACGTGTTCTGACCATCTCCACTGCTGCTCCAGGGGCTGGAGGGAAGGGGCAGAGCAGCTCCCTACGCCCAGAAGGTCAGACAAGGGCTGAGGCACACAGCCCCAGCTGGCTTCCAGACCCAGGGCGTGGGCTGGCCAAGCACCAGCACCCATGGCCCTAGAAGGCTGTGCCCCCGGGGCTGCGAAGCCTCTCCAAGGAACGCTGTCCTGCAGCCAAGGAAGCAGCTGCTGCCAGTGCCAGCTCACGTGAGCCACGCTCCTTCACACCCAGGTGGGAAGTGACTCCGTGGACCAGCCAGGACTGCACACGGCGACACGCTGAGGTCCCACCGCGGCGCCTCGCAGGTAAGCGATATTCCCCATGGATACACTGCCCGGGCCCATGCTTCCCCTAGAGCCACCCACG